TTTTTTTTTTTTTTTTTTTTCGGTGAGAGAAGGTAGCGAGTGACTGTGAGCTCTGCAGCTGTGACTGTGGGCTAGGCAGCTGTGGCTGTGAGCTAGGCAGCTGTCAGGGTACAGGATAATATTTAATCTGTGCCATCTGCCCCTTCTTCATCATAGAAGGAGAGGTCCGTCCCCCCCTACCCATGTCTCCCCTCCTCCCAGATGCTGGACCCTGTCCTGCTCAGAGCCTCTCAGGAACTCTGTGTCATCAACTGCTTAATAATTCTCTCTCTCTCCTTGGTGTCTTCAGCTTCTCCCATGCCCGAGTCCTTCTGGCTGGCGTGTGAGCACGCTGAAAGCACTCGTGTTATGAGTAAAAACAACTCTGCCTTGGTCTCAGTCCTCTTTGAGCGTGTCTCTCTCCTTCACGCGTGGAGCTGATCTGCAGGGAGTGGCGTCTCCTCACTTTCTCCATCTTCTCCCCTCTTCTTTATCTCTTCAGGCTTCTGCCCACAGTGGCACAAAACAGCTCTTCCGCCCCATGCCACCAGACCCAACATGTTCCCCAGTTCTCATTGCACAGGACCGTCACCACCCATTGGCGCTCCCGGCCACTCTCTTTGCTTGCAATGCTCTCTTCTTTGGCAAGGGAATCTTGTCAAACGAGTCTCCTGACTTCCCTTTTCCCTCTGGCCACTCGTTGTCCTTCTGTTAGGCTTCTGGTCATCTCGCTGGCCATCAGATGCTGGCATTCAGCAAGGATGAGGGGTAGGGCATCTTCTCCTCTCACTCTGGACGTCCTCTCTATGTGATATAAAATTCTCTATCACCCCAGCGTCAGTGTCTGTGACCTCCAGGAATACATGCACATCTGCTGAATTAACACCTCCCGTAGATGTCCTAAGACACTGAAGCTCAGCAGAGTGAGAACACAACTCACAGTCTCCTTCCCCTGTCCTCAAACCTTCTTCTCTTCCTGTATCCATGCATGAATGACACCCCCATCCATTCCGTAAGACCAAAGAGAAACTGAAGAGGTATTCCTGAGACTGACCTCTTCACCTCTCCCATATCCAGATCATCTTGGACTCTGTAGTCTTACCTCCTAAATGTGTCGGAATCTCTGCACCCCTCTCTGCCTGTGTTACCATCGCTCTGGTCCTACTTAGCATCCTCTTCTGGTTAGATTGCTGCTGTCACTCCTGCTTTTCAGGCACTGATCCCCAGCAACTCTGAAGCTCAGTGCTGCTTCCTGCAGCAGGGCTGTGCACATGCTACTCCATGCGCCAGGCATGTTTTCCCATCTGTTTTTATATATTAACTTTGTTTCATCTTTCAGATCTTACAGTAACAGTCAATTACCAGAGGATATTTTTGTTGCTCTCCCATGTATGTTAAATACTATTACATTCTCTTTCTGTTCCATGTACCTCTCCTTGTAGCACCTGTCACGGTTCTTTTGTTTGTGTGACTGTGTAATTAATGTGTCTTCCCCGTAAGGCTCTCGACTTCTTGAGGGCCTTGTTTGTACTCACAATCACTCGTGTCTTCTGGCATTGTGGTGTTCAGTATGGCAGGTGTCCTCTATATACTTGCTGAATGAATGAATGAATCAATGATTGACATCACCTCGACTATTCTTTAAAATAACATGTTTTTGATTGACATTATGTCGATTATTTTTTAAAATAATAAGTTGTTACAAAGCTTACTTTTTATGTGGTTTGAGCACTCCCTATAGAGTTTTATTCATTGTGACTGCTTTTCTACATAAGCTATAGGAAGATAATGCTCATGCAGGCTTGGTCTGAGTTTTCAGAGGGTCTGAGGTCTGGGCTGATGGGGTCGGCCATACTGAAGACATACCTACACGTCTGCCTCACCACGGAACCCTGTTCTTGCACATTCAAGGTCAGCTGGCAGGAGCCGTTGGGTCTTTATGGCTCATTACTAATGGCAGTTCTTTTGCTCTGGTCACACAATGAGGATGCACTTCTCTACCCACTTTGTCTCAGGGTGGCCATGCCACCTGCCTTCCCTGATGACATGTGAGTGGTTCCAGGCAGGTGCATGAAGAGCCAGTGTGTGATTTCCCACACTGCATCTTCTCTTCCTTTGCAATCAGGAAGCAGGAGGCGCCAGGGCCTCCATCAGTGGGTTTTCTGAGTGGCTGTGGGGATGGGACGCCCCTGGCCAGCTGCAGTGCAGCACGCATACTTGGTTGGCTTGTTATTGCAGCCTCATCAGCCTGTCCTGACAGCTACAGAAATATAAAGGAAGTTTGTCCCAGAGAGTCTTTTCTTTGGCCACAGAACCACATTATTCTCCCCAAGAGCAGAGAGAAGCTCCAGGACACAGATTAGGACAGATCCTTGTCTTTTGCCAGTGCGCCATGAAAACTAGGAAATAACGATGGAGAGTGAGAACCCATTGCTGTATGAGGAGTGAGGTCAGGCAGGCTGTGGAGGGCATCTGCTGACCAGGGAGCAGAGGGCCCTGGGTGGGGTCCTTATGGTGCCCCAAGAATTACAAAAGCACCTGCTGACCAGAGGCCTCTGGAGCACCCACGCCACTCCTTATAAGAAAGAGGTTTCTCCAGCAGTTTTACCAAGCAGGTTGACGTTTTGCTGGTGGAGCCAAACACAAAAACGCGGAGTGGATGCCATTCTGTATTTGGAGAAACTGCAGTGACTTCCCCAGCTCTACCCGTAGAAGTGGTCTAGAAGGTCACACTATTTCACGTGCTCTCTGATTTTTTAAAGGAGTTCGACATAAGCAGTTGATAAAATGTGGTGTATTTTCTCCCCAGAGACAAGCTGAGATAGTTAAAGAAGATGAAGAGATACATGAGAACACCCCTGATTTTGAGGGCAACAACGTGAGTTCATTTTATTTTGTATTTAATGGCCTGGATCTAAGGCACCTAACACGCTGAACAGAGCTTACGTTTGGTGGTGAAAGGATCTGAGATCATGAGTCAGTTCCAAAGTACAAGCCAGCGTGGAATTGGAAGCGAGTGCATTTCCTAGGCAGCTGTGGACATGATCTCGTTTCCTGTGCCAGTTACATGAGTCATTTTAATTGCATGTACACTTGTCCTAATTACTTTCCACTGTACTTCTAGTCACAAACCTAAAACCTTTTTCCCCAGGAAGTTTCAAGATGTACTTTAGCAGGGAACGTCCAGGGAGGTGAAGGAAGGCAGCAGGTGTGCAGGTGGCTGTGTGGAGTGGACACCTGGGGCACCAACTGGCGTGGTTCGCAGTGTGGTGTAGTAGCCAGTCCCTCTGGGGAGCACGAGGGTGAGGATGTGCAGTGCTCGTGTGCAGATGGCGGTGGAAGCCAGCACGGGATGCTTGGCAGTGTGGATTCTCACTCGCTCTTCTTCCTCTTTGGATGTCCTGGAAACTTCCTCCATGCAGGGAACGTGTGCCTGTGGTCCTCTATGAGATTATGCAACTTATCGTCCACATAAAATACGTGGATCAGGAAAACAGAATTTACTTTAAATGCTCCATTTTTAGCTAAGAAGTAGACTTCGAGGACTTCGTTTTCAGAATTCTGTCTCTGGATCTTTTTTTTTGTTTCAAGGTAATCTCTTGTTTTTAAGTTTGGCCGCAGTCAGGAAGCTGTGTAAATTGATCATCACACAGGAGGCTGTGTAATGAGCTCCCGGATTCATTAAGTCTGAGAGATGCAATCTGAGTCTATCCTCTAGGGCTGTAAACAGGCGGGGACACTCGCCGCCCTGCCAGGAGTCACTTTTTTTTTTTTTTTTTTTTGCTCTTAAACTTGCCCTGCAGCTTCCTGGCTGCCACCTCGAAGAAAGAGGAGGAGTGACCCCTAGGAAGCTTGTACGCGGGTGCTGGAGCCACGCAGGTCACCCCTGGTGCTTGACACAGCTTGGAACAGGTGTTTGTTGGAAGGGATATGGGTCCTCAGGAAGTTAGTTCAGGTTTTTTAGAAAACACCAAAGCAGCTTCTGATCTAAAACAGACAGTCAAAGAGGATACACTTGTAAAACAGCTCATTCTTCCTTCCTTATATTCGTGGATAGTTGTGGAAAGGTATCCTGTCTGTATCTGGATGAGTAGGGAAGACTGTTAGATGAAGAGCAAAGACAGTTTTTGATTTCTTTGGCATCCTCTGCCAAGGATAAGGGTATGTTCTGAGAGCAGGAATGAGAATGCAGATGTTTGTCTCAGCGCATTAGGCTAAGAGGGGCAAACAAGCCACTGGCTTACCTTGCTTACCCTCAAGGAGAGGATGCTGTTATGCAAATGGCATATTTCAATAGTGATATAACCTAGGCCCTCTGACTGCGGTGAGTTTATGCTCTCTCCTCAATGCCTTGTGCACACTGGTGGTTGAATTTGTCATCTGTGCTTAACTGACTTGTTATGGAAATCTACTCAGGCTGCTGAGGGGATCCATGCATATTAGTGACTTGCTAACAGCCAGTAGCAGATTTAATTTCTTAGAGGGCATCAAAATGTCTTTCTTAATGTAAGCACTATCACTGGAATTCAATGGCAAACCCAAGCACCTAGACCTTAGGTATCTGGGCCAAGGATCTAAGCTGCTGGGGAAAAAGGTGATAGGGACAGCCAGACGTTGGCTCTTTTGCCCAAGCACTAATGACGGGAGACAGGACAGGGAGGGCTGGGGAGCACACGAAGGCATCCTGAGCTTCACCATGCACCAGGCACTGTCCAGCCATTCCCATATACCTGGCCCCATCTCCACCGCACAGTCGCTCTCTAAGGAAGGCAGAATAAACAAGATTAAAAACAATGAGATGGGGAGTTTAGGTAGCTTGTCGGTGTCACGCAGGAGGTGATGGGGCTTGGATTGGAACCCTGTTTTGAGCGATTTCAAAGGCTGTGTTTTCTTCTTCCAGTGAACCATGTTGGTTATATGTAACTTCCCAGAAGAGGCATTTTCTGTATCAGGCTTCACACTGTGTCCCTCGTAGATACCGCTGCTTGGTTGGCATTACCTGCTGCTTCCAGGGGTGCAGGATGGCTCACGTGTTTCAGTTCTAACAGCTCCGTCTTTGCTTCTAACATGACTGGAACAAAGCTTTGTTGATGTGAAGTAACCCATGGGGTTGAAGGTAATTGGCCCTAAAATTTGGCCCATGTTTTTGAGGGCTCAAGAAGAGCAAGCATTTTATATGCTTTATAATAGCTGTAATAACAATTAAAAAGAAGCAGGACTCAATTAGCCCTTCCTGGCCAATAGGCCACAGTGAGCTAACCCTGCTCTCAATGAACTGTAGTTCACCTGGCATTTCATTTATACGTTCATGTGACAAATTAATCATATGACATTTATTTGATATCGATTATATTAAAATTTTTAGGCATAGGATTACTGGCTTGACCTCCTCAAAGACCGAGGTTGTGCCCTGTCATCTTACGTGTCATTCAGTGTCTTATATACAGTAGATGTATAATAAATACCTGTGGATTTGCTTTCAGTTGCCTATGATGAAGTTACTTAAATATGTAATCCTGGAGTAAAATGCTAATTACCTTGCAAAGTTGTAAGAAAACATATTATAAACTTTATTTATAAATATGTATTGTTTAGGCACAGCGGCTTACGCCTGTAATCCTAGCAATTTGGGCGGCTAAGGCAGGAGAATCGCTTGAGGCCAGGAATTTGAGACCAGCCTGGGAAACATCGTGAGACCCTGTTTCTACAAAAAATTAGCAAAACAAAAAAAGGTAGCCAGATGCAGTGGTGTGCACCTGCAGTCCCAGCTCCTTGGGAGGCCGAGGTGAGAGGATCGCTTGAGCCCAGGAGGTTGAGGCTGCAGTGAGCTACAATTGTGCCACTCCACTCCAGCCTGGGTGACAGAGAGAGACCCTGTCTAGAAAGAAAAATAACTACTACTCCTATATATAGAAAATATTTCTGATGTTTGATCACAAAGATGTGTTATTTATGTGGTAAAATACAAATGATTTTTGTGGTAACATATAAAAACACGATTTGCCATTTAACCATTTTCAATGTGCAGTTCAGTGGCATTAATCATGTTCTCCGTGTTGCACAGTCGCGGCCACTGTCTAGTTCCGACACCTTTTCATCTCCTCACACCGACACTCTGTCCAGCTCCCCGTCCTGCGCTAACTCCCTGTTCCGTGCTTTGCCTAGCCCCAACGGTGTTGTCATTTGGAGCACTTAAAACAATCGCAGCCTGGAGGAGCTATTGAGATGCAAGTGTTATGATGGGATCCTCCTCGCGCCGCAGCCCAGGGTGCATGTATTTTACAATCATGTATGTCAATAGCATAGAAGTGGGAGCAATCAAAATCAAAAGCAAAAATAGAACTGTGCTTTTGGATGACACTTCCTCATCCTCAGCATACTTTAAACGTGTTAATTATACACACGACAATTCTGACGATACTGGGCACTGTAATATTTTTTCATCCTTAAAAATGGAATGTTATTAACATTGGAACACTGGGATTTTCTCCAGTTCTTTCTTTTTTATTTTTTTTGAGATGGAGTCTTGCTCTGTTGCCCAGGCTGGAGTGCAGTGGCGTGATCTCGGCTCACTGCAAGCTCTGCCTCCTGGGTTCACGCCGTTCTCCTGCCTCAGCCTCCCAAGTAGCTGGGACTACAGGCGCCCACCACCACGCCTGGCCAATTTTTTGTATTTTTAGTAGAGATGGGGTTTCACAGTGTTAGCCAGGATGGTCTCGATCTCCTGACCTCATGATCCCCACCCGCCTTGGCTTCGCAAAGTGCTGGGATTACAGGCGTGAGCCACCTCGCCCAGCCTTCTCCAGTTCTTAGTGCTTGATTTGTTTGGACTCATTGGTTCTAAAACATCTTATGTGCAAGCAGCACTTTTTAATTTATGCTACCTGCGAAGTTGTAAAGCAATGTGTAACGGTTTTGAAAAGGTTCGATCCCTTTCCGAAGCAAGATGGAAAGTGTGAATGGCAATGCCAAAAACACATATCCATGGGCCACGTACGCAGGGCTCTCTCCAAGGACGACACGAGCTTCCTATCCTTGAGAGTACCTCCATGTGGTCTGTGGCCAGCTCTGAGGGATGCTTTAGAGAAGGGTTATGCATAGGAGTGGTCGGGCATCATGGCACTCAGGTTTTTCTCTGATTCCTTGTTATCAACCTTTTTAATAGTATTTAGGTGTTTCCTACTTTTGAAAAAGCTGTCTAAAAATTTCATGGGTAATTTTGTGTATTCAATAAAGAGAGAGAGAGACAGGAAGAGGGAGCAGGAGATTGACTCTGATTTTGGGGTGATGATTTTCTCTTCCTCCAAGAGCATCCTGTGCACGTTCAGGCCTCTCTGGTGCTGTGCCCGATGCCTGCTGCGCCTCTGCCTTTCCAGCTCTCACCCACTTCCAGGGCTTGCTGCAGAGCCAGCCTCGTCCTTACAGCTCTCTGGATCCTTCTTCTCCAGGGAGCGTCTCTTCCTCTGCTAACCTCCACTGGTATTTTGTTTGTCCTTTCTACGCCGTCCAAAGCACAATTTGGCTTTAGTTAGAGCTGTTTGTGTACGTCTACTGCCTCTTCTGAGCGATTCACGTTTTCTGAAGGAAGAGTCTCGACTTAATTCATTTTGGTGTCATTTTAGTGCCTTTCATATCACCTTGCACACAGGAGTAACTGATCTTGAGTTTGATAGAGACTCTGGAAGATATTAGGTGACCAGTGTGCGGCAGTGGAGGCAGCGTGGGGCATCGCACGGCCTCTGGCCTGAGGCTGGAGTGTGGCCAAGCAGGTGCTGAGCGTGGCCCCAGTAGAGGGGACTAAAGATGAGGGTGGATATTCAGTGAGTCTCAAAAGGCTATGTCAGAAGAAGTAATTATCTCCAAAGCCTTAGTGTTTATCTACATGAAAATCAAACTTTTCTCTTTGGAAAATTTCATAAAGTCAAAAGCTAAACAAAATAAGGAAGAAAGTATTTGCAATACAAATCAAATGTTCTTGATTTACACAAGTCTCATAAATCATTAACACAAAGCCCAGTAAAAAGAAAGGCAAAGAAGACAAACAGGAAATTCACAAAGAGGAATACAGATTTCCAGAAGACGTAAGGAAATATGTCCATATCATTCCTACTTAAACCAATGCAGATAATAAAAATGAGGTTTTTTTGTTGTTAAATCAGATTGATGATGTCCAGTGCTTAATAAATCCAGATTAGGGATTTGTTTTACAATATCCCTCCTGCAGGTAATTGAATACTATATTTTTATATTAATAGAGATGCAGAAAAGCAGCAATGCTTCTTATTAGGGTCAGGTATGAATCAATGCAGCCTTTGGAAAAGAGGGTTTTCTCTTTCTATTCAAATTAAACCTGTACTTTTCTTAAACCATTATTATCATCGCTAGGAATATCTTCTGCACATTTTTTAAACCATTATTATGATAGGAATATCTTACAAATATATTAATTAACAACTATTAATATTTGTTATATTAACATTCAATAAAGAGAGAGAGGACAGGAAGAGGGAGAGGGAGATGAACTCTGATTCTGGGGTGATGATTTTCTCTTCCTCCAAGAGCATCCTGTGCACGTTATATTAATATACAAATATTAATATGTTACAGTGTATTTATGACTATTAATAGAAACAAATGCAATGCTCATCCACAGGGTTGGTTGATTAGTATTTTACCAATAGAATGGGATATAATACAGCTGTGAAAATAATTAGATAGACTCATACAGCTGAAGGATGGGAGCTCCAAGATGTTATATTAAGTAAAAAAAATCAAAGTGCAACAGAGAATACAGGTATGACATGCTGCCTTTTGCATAAGAATGATCAAAAAGATGTACATAAAAACAAAGAGTTTAGAATAGGAAACAAAATGGAAGGAAGTAGGAGGAACAGAGCCGCAAGTCGATAGTGAGGATGAGGCTTGAGGCTTTACGCCAAGCTCCTGAATGATGTTTATGAGAAAGAATTTGACCTCCCTGAGAAGCTGAGTAGAGGCGGGGAAGATTAAGGATTTATTTTACAACATCCTTCTTGCAATAGTTGATTCCTATATTTACTTTTTAATACTAGGATAAAGAAGATGCAAGGCTTTGTGAAGACATTGAAAGCAAGGTTTGTATCAACAACAAATACTGTAGTTTTGCATTTTCTACTCTGAAGAGAGACCTAACAGGAGAATCCACGGATCCCCAAATCTTGTCAGGTGCTTTTTAGGAATGTAACTTTTTTGCCTCTGTCATACACCGTAGCTCTGTTTTCCAGAGTTAGAAAACCAGCTTGGAGGAAAAGAAGCAAATCACGGCCTTTCACATAGGTGGATGGATCCTTGGGAAAGGCAAGTAAGAACCAGGAGTGGAAAGTGCTGTAGGGCGGTGCGTGGCTGGCGTCTGAAGGTGCAGCATTTATGACTGCCTGGAAAACCTGGAAAACACGTGTGAATTATCTGCCAGCTACACCTGTAGTCACTCACTTAGGTTTTCCAGGCAGTCATAAAAGCTGCACCTTCAGACGCCAGCCATGAAGCTAAGGATGAATGCGCTTGCCTGGCGAGCACAAGGAGTAGGGGACTCACAGCCCTGGGGAAAGCGGATGTGTAACTGGGCCGGGGACCCCACCTGGCAGCAGACCCCACCTGGCAGCGGAAGGTGCTTCCCTCTAGAAGCGCTGCTCTCCCAGCAGGACTGAGTTCTCATCCTAAGTTGGTAGATGACTAAGTGATGATAGTGGTTTTTGTCTGAGTGTGTCAAGTTTCATTTATTTAGTCTTTAGTTTTCCTAGACTCCTCAGCACTCCGCAAAGGACGTGAGCCCTGAGTGATGGCACTTGGGGAGGTTAACCTAACCGAAGCCAGTGTCTACACACCTCGGGGACTTGAATCGGCTCCGCCTGGCTTTGGCTGCTCCAGAACCGGCCAGATGTGTGGCATCGGGAACACTCCTTAAAACCTGATTGCCTCAGTTTCCTCCTCTATTCAAAGTTTATCTGTCCACTTGTTTATAACAAAATCAACCTCCAGGAGAGAATATGTGTAAAGTCTGCTTAGCGTTACTACTTTTATTCTTATTATTAGTAATAGCTGACTTGCAAAATATTCCTGACCATATTATGGGGGAAGGGAACACGTGTGAGTTGTGTCCTGCCCATGCACGGAACCTCTGGTATGGGTGTGTCCCCATCGTGCAGTGAGACTCTCCTGCAGATGTGTCCCCCAGTGCACGGAGCCTTTCATGTGGGTGTGTCCTGCCCATGCATGGTGCCTCTGGTGTGGGTGTGTCCCCCGGTGCTTGGAGCCTCTCGTGTGGGTGTGTCCTGCCCTGGCACGGAGCCTCTTGTGTGGGTGTGTCCTGCCCGGGCACGGAGCCTTTGGTGTGGGTGTGTCCCCCCATTCACGGAGGAGTCTCTCGTGTAGGTGTGTCCCGCCTGAGCCCGGAGCCTCTGGTATGGGTGTGTCCTGCCCATGCATGGAGCCTCTGGTGCGGGTGTGTTCCGCCCATGTATGGAGCCTCTGTGTGGATGCACAGGCAGCCTTGTGGCTGGAAGAGCACTAAATTCCTGTAATGGCTTTCCCACTAACTTGCTAGGTGTCCTTTGTTAAGTAACTTGATTGATTCAATCAACAATCATTTTACATGTTTATAGGTTTGCTTACTTTACTTTTCAAGAATCAATGCGACAATGGTTTGGAAAGTTCCTGAAAAGTATAGCATATCTATGTTGAAAATGGTGTTTATATTATTTGTATTTGAGCTAGATAATGAAAGTTTTTGTTCCTCAGCTTGACATGAGACACTTGGTTTTCCCCACTCTTAACTCCCGTGTTAAAATCAGTGTAATCCATTCTGTTATGGGCGTTCCATCCTCTGGAACTCTCTACAGCCAACCTAACCGCACATGATTGGGAATCAATAATGTGTGTTCATGGCGACGTCCCTGTAAGCATAAATCATATCTGGTTTGAATGCCAAGTAATTCTTTGGAGCATTTATCACTTGTTTGGCATACATGTTACTCTTTTAAAGGGAATATTTTACCAAACACAATGGAATGAAAAGAATGCAAATCTGGCCGCATGCAAACTGTGCGCAGATAGTTTCATTTCTCCGACCCTTGGTTTCCTTATCTGTGAAACAGATAATTTCCAACTTGCGAAGTGAGTGTAAAGATTAGAAGTATTTAAAAGTGCCTTACTCAGTGGTCTGGGGTTAAATGCTATCTACTGTTGTTATTATTATTCTGTAATTTAATCATGACTCCAATGGAGGTCTAAAGTCTTTGAAAGAAGGAATGAGATTTTACTCATATTTGCACTTTTCTCAGCGTCAGGCATGCGCAATGCCTTACAGTAGACTATATATATATATATATATATATATATATTTTTTTTTGTTTGTTTGTTTATTTTTGAAATGGAATCTCTGTCAGCCAGGCTGGAGTGCAATGGCACTATCTCGGCTCACTGCAAGCTCCGCCTCCCGGGTTCAAGCGATTCTCCTGCCTCAACCTCCAAAGTAGCTGGGACTACAGGTGCCCACCACTACGCTGGCTAATTTTTTGTATTTTTAGTAGAGACGGGGTTTCACCGTGTTAGCCAGGATGGTCTCGATCTCCTGAGCTCATGATCTGCCCGCCTCGGCCTCCCAAAGTGCTGGGATTACAGGCGTGAGCCACCGCGCCCAGCCTATCAATTATATTTTTAAATGAAATTTTCTCCTCTGATACCTCACACTAGTTTAAAACTTAATACTTTGTTAAACTGTAAACAATTTATGTTGGTTGTAGACATTAGAAAATGCAAATAAGAAGAAAATGAGAAAGTGAAAACCCTGAATTCCTCTGCTCAGAGTCTGTTCTCACTTTTGTGCATGTTCTTCAGGACTGTTTTCCATTTTAAGTTTCCTTTTTGTGTAGAGTATTAAGAAGGTCAGAACTTGTCAAATAATAGAAAATTCTATTTTAAGAAATACTATGAATCAGTATTGAGGATATTTTCAACATTTTAGGTTTTTTTCTCAGTCTACTTCAGAATGTTGATTTTATTTATTTGAAATCGATTTAAACGTTTTTGAGCAGAGCTGCCATCACTTTAAAAACAGCAACAACAAAGCAACAGGCATCATGGACTTATGAGGAATTTTCCCAGAGCTGTGTTGCAAGTGTGGCTTCCTGGATGTCATCTGCTCTGAGTATTTCATCTCAAATCAGAATTTAAAAAGGAAATTTCAGTTTTTCTTCAGCAACAAATGTTCAATTTGATTTCTCATTGGCTATTTTTTTTTTGACGATAATGAGAAATAGATTTAAGAGAAGAAAAGTAAACAGACTGAATATTTTATCCACTAATAGATTTTAAAATGTAAACTACAATTTTAAATCATGAATCTAGGTGTTGAACTATTCTACTTCCATCCTGTATTGGACACATAGTAACTTTCTGAAATATGACAGCAACAAAGAGCATTCAGAATACACTGGGTGTGCAGTTTGCTGTTTTCATTTTGTGTTTTTGCATCATAGATTGTAATATGAACATCTCGGTCACTTCCGACGGCCAAGCAGCACGACAGGATGCTGTAGTGACAAGTTCCAGGTGCAACGTGTATGAGAAGATAATTGTGACCTTTTTTCCCCCAAAGGCTTCAAAAATCAAGTATAATTTTGATCAACAATAAATGTGCTATTAGTTAAAAAAAAGTACCTAAGATTTTTAGTATTTATAGTCATCGATTTCTGAAATGGTCTATCACCTTTTAAAGGAGTACTTTGTAAGTTTCATGACAGTGTTATGCATGATCATATCAAAGCAAAGTCCTTTTAAATGCATATTGGAGGCAACATTCAAAGCCTGTTAACATCCTTTGTTAAATGTTTTTCTTCCTTTCTTCTGTTTCCCTTCCTTCCTTCTTTTCCTCTCTTCCTTCCCTCCCTTCCTCCCTCCCTGCCTTCCCTCCCTTCCTCCCCCCAACCCTCTTCTCTCTCTCTTTCTTTTTCTGAGACAGGGTCTTCCTCTGTCACCTGCAAGCTCCGCCTCCCACGTTCAAAAGATCTCATGCTTCAGCTAACTGAGTAGCTGGGATTACAGGCATGGCCCGCGTGCCACCACACACAGCTAACTTTTTTTTTTTTTTTCATAGTTTTAGTAGAGAGGGTTTCACCATGTTGGCCAGGTTGATCTCGAACTCCTGACCTCAAGTGATCCACCCACCTCGGCCTCCCAAAGTGCTGGGATTACAGACGTGAGCCACTCTGCCTGGCCAAATTGTTTTCAATGTGATAGAAAAATAGTGGGTTTTGTCTGCCCTTGAAACATTTATATTTTAGCCTATTGGAGAAACAAGAGTGAAAAACTGCCAAGCACCACACAAAACTCCATGTGGAATCCAGAGACCCTTTTCCTGCCCTGATTTCCAGACTTCCTTTGAACTGAGGACTGGCTCCTATGCTTCTCTTGAAGAAATGGCTTACAGTAAATAGTACCAATTCTCATCATTGCTCAACTTTATACTGTATTTATTTATATTTATGACTTGATCCTTCATTCTTTTTCTAATGCCATGCCTCTAATTGTTCTGTGAGTCACCTCTTTCAAGAAGCAATTACCCATTCTGGTCATCTCTTAATGCTCTCAGCCTTCAGGAAGCATGCTATTATAATCATGTCATTTCCAAATACTTTGCCTTTTTCCAATTATCCCCCAAGTGATTTTGTGTTTGCATTCAAGTTTTCAACAACTCTCCATTGGATGGTTAATTTTTTTCCTATTAAATGCTCATTTCTTTATGTATGGAGCACATCCTCTGCTTATATGTCTCCTCCCTCCCTGTCCAGGGGTACTCATTGCTCAAAATTTCTTAACTAACTAAGCCTGGCTGGGCCTTATAGGATTAAAGAAAGAGAGATTTGATCCTCTTGTAGCTTTTAGGCTTTGATATTTCATGTTGTTGAAAACTAGGAAATTTTTGACTTTGGGTGGAGTCAGAATGACAAGAACATAAGGAAACAGAACACAGTGGGTGACTTCAGAACAGTAGTTATAGAACAGGAGTTATCTATGATCGATTAACGCTATGTGCTGCTGTGTGCGTGTTTTCCTACAACAAAAAGAGAATCATGTC